CCCACCCAGTCTGACAGCAGACAATGACACAATGGCTCCTTGCAGTCCTTCTCAAAATCACCACTGAACTCCATGCAGAACAAAGGCTGGGGGTCCTTGCTGCCACCGGAATGAAATTGATGACTCTCCAACGTGTCGAACACCATCTTTCTCACCATTGCGTACATGTCCGCTGGGTGACTGACACACCCATCCCGAGTTTGAAGGAGTTCAAACTCATGATTAAAGGAAAACCCAGGTTAAGCACAGTGCTCAACAGTCAGTTTGCAAAGCGAGTGTTTGCTTTAAGACCTGTTTGGCCTCATTAATTGTTTAAATCCTTCAGGTGCTAGACAAATATTAAAGAATGGCTTCATTCCAAGTTAAAGATTAAGACTTGAGCAAGTGAAAGACAAAACTGTAAACTTTTAAAAAAATTAAATTCAAATAAAACTTTCGATAAGACATTCACACTACAAATGGTAATTGAAGTTCCTCATTTAGATTTTAGATTTTACAGTGGATTTTCCAGGTGGTCACTTCTCAATCTTTCTCACATTCTCAATGAAAAAAATGACTACAAAATTGATGACACATGTGGAGTTAATTAGACAGTACGACTCAATTTGTCATGAAATTTTAAACTTGTTTGTACAACTGAAGATCAGTAAAAGATCACAAAGCAATTAAAAGTAAGGTATTTCCTTTCAATAATGAAAAACATTGCAGTCCTCCATGCTGACCTGCATGTCATTATGGAAACCAATGAAACTCAGCAAAGGCTACCAAGGTCTCCATGTGGTTGCTCCCACTGATTGGATCTCCTTCCTGACCAATCCCATGATCTCTCCAGGAATCCATTCCACATTCATAAGCGTGCCCTCCATCCTGCATGGGGTCAGGGGCAGACCCCTGCTCCTGCCAGTGAAGTACAACTTTACTACTGCAAACGTGGAAATCCAGGGTGATTGGAAGCTCCACGACACCATGCTGGTGGCTTTCAGGAACCGCAATGTCATCTCCCACCTGAGCATGGAGCACCAGCATACCTTCCTGCCCCCAAACGCATCGCTGCTGATCAACGTGTTGGAGGAGAAGGCGGAGGGACCGTACAAGGTGGACATCCGGCTCAAGTTCGCCGACAAGCCTGATATCATCGAGGAGAGCAGAGTGGTCCGAGTCACAGTCAACGGTGAGCAGATGTGAGAAATCCATGAGAAATCCATGGGAGGCCTTATCGCCACCTTGTTCATTTCCTCATGTTTTGACAGTAATCGCTTGACCGGTTAAAGTTAAAAATTGGGACATGAACAGGTAATGAATTAAGCTGTGATCAGACGCGATCTGTGTCCCCCAGTGCCAGTGTCCAAGCCAAACGTCCACATGAGCCCCGGCTCTCCGGTCGTTGAAGACAAGGACAACGTGACGTGGACGTGCTCAGTGGACAATGGCTCCCATGTGCAGTACCGCTGGTTCCGGGACGGCGTTCCTGTCGGTACTGGTGACCGGTACAGCTTCTCAGGGGATAACGGCAAGTTTGCCATCAGTCCCGTTAGGAAAGAGGACATTGGAGACTACGTCTGTCAAGTCAGCAACCACGTTAGTGAGGAGTGGAGCAGACCAGTCCCCCTAAGTGTATTCTGTAAGTAAACCGTCAGCTGCTTGCAGCTCTTAAATATTCCCATACAAGACAGATCCTTTTCCAGACAGATACAAAACACCATTTCACATAAAAATAACTACACCTAGGAAATAATTAATTCATGCTCTCAGTGTCCACAAACTGTTCTATGTGGATAAGCAGAAGTTGTGCTTATTTGAACAGTAGTCCCTTTGTCCGAATGATGACAGATGACAGATGATATCATTTTTAGTCAAACTTGCCTGCAACGCTATGATTAATATCTTGTACCAGAAAGTGGTTTTGTTAGTTAAAGTTGCTTTTTAATTTTTAAATTTAGACAACGTATTACAGGTGGTAACAATAGTAATATAGAATATACAGTATAGTGGAATTATAGTACTTTCTGATCGATCAAGAGAGAACTTTTGTAGGAAGCACTTTTCAAACGTGATCGCCTCTGGGTAGGTTGTGTTTTCATGTATAGAGACAGGCCCCTTCTCTTTCAGAGCGAGATCCTTAGCTGCGATGCAAATACAGTCATGTTGATGAGAAAACGTTTGCCAGGGATTCAGGCGTGTGTGTAGGACTGGGAATAAGTCTTTGGCACCTGCTGTGAGCAATGCCCAACAGGAGCTGAACCAGAACAAGTATATATATTGAATCGTGGCCACTGTGCTTTTCTTTAAATGTATCCTTTGTGTATAAGGTAATGGTAATTGAATAGTAATTAAATGTCGTTCAACTGGTGGAGAATTATAAGGTGCCTTTAAGGTTGATGCGTGCAAATGCACATTTTAAAAGGATCCACAGAGTAATTAATGGTACGCGAAATAAAACACTTTTGTATTTAAAGGTTTTACAGTGCAGAGGAGGATTTTAGTGCCACCCAGAGGTTAACGCTATGCCCAATTCTGATACATATTTTGATCAAAATGTAGCCTACATTGTTTTTTTTCCCCTCAATCAAAACATTTTACCATGGATGTGATTGTTGGGTGGTTGAGGGTGATGATGGTGATGAGGGTGATGATTCTAGTACTACCCTTTGGATAAATTCAAACGTTCTTTCAAATGATCTGTAAATATAAGGTCGTCTTTGCAGATGGGCCATATAACCTGGAGGTGAGTGCCCAGCAGGGCCTGAAGACAGGCGAGGTGTTCACCATCAACCCCGGGGAGCTGGTGTTATTTGACTGCCACGCTGATTCCAACCCACCCAACACCTGTGTGTGGATCTCCAAGAGCCGCAACTCAACTAAGGTGGTGATGAAGGGCCCCCGCTTGGAGGTGATGTCCGAAAGGCTGGCCCAAGCCGAGGAGTATGTATGCCGTGCCTTCAACAACGTCACGCAAAAGCAAGATGAGACCCAATTTACCCTGGTGGTGGCAAGTCTGGGCACTGGTGAGTGTCTCCTTGTTAAACTTCTGGTGTAGTGCCAGTTTTTCTTTGATGTGGTAAATGTAACCTGTCAGATTATCAAACTTGTTATTCTAAAGCACAAAATGTGATACATTCAATCCGTCTTCCGAAATCCATAATTTTGATAATCATACTTCATGAAAAAAAAGACATAAGGCTTTTCTTAAACGCCATGGTAAGTACCTCTTCAGGAGCGTTGCCAGTTCTTGGACGTGGGAAACGTTACTTGTAATGGGAAACAACCTTTCAGATTTTCAGACACATTATTCTAAAGCAGTGTTTCCCAACCCGGTCCGCAGCGACCCTCAGACAGCCCATGTTTTTATTCCCACCCAGCTCTCTACTGGGAGCAAAAATGTGGACTGTCTAGCAGGGAGTTGGGAGGGAGCAAAAACATAGATTGTCTGTGGATCCCCGAGGACCAAGTTAGGCAACATTGTTCTAAAACACAAAACACAATGAAGTCAATCTTCCGGAATTACCATTTTTTATAAATTAAATGCATTTCATATTTAATAAAAACATGATATTTAATAAAACATGACACACAATGCTGAAACTGATGTCAAATGTAGATTGGCAATGTAATTATTTACAAAAGCTCATGGTAACGAGTGAATCAGGCAAACACGAAATTTATCTAATTCATCGGCCGCATTTGAGCAGAGTCAATATTGTGCTATGGCTACACGTCATTGCCACCTGTACCGAAGTCTTACGGCTGTATTGGAAAGCAAATAGCACACAGCAGGTGCTCAGTGTTTACAGTCTTCAACTGCATTCTGGCTCTACATATAGGGAAAAAAACTGCCATGTTTGCAACAACTCTGCTGCAAAAGGAGCAATGATCATTTTGGTGAGTTGAAATCACTTTTGGTGCAAGAACGTGGGCAAAGGGTTCTTTGAGGCAGATAATGATGAACTGCAGCATGAGCGATAGTACGCTTCAGTGGTGGTCTTAGAAAAGAGCAAGACCTACAGGGAAGTGACGTCCCTGGAAAGCTCAGCGGAATATGGGGATAGGGAGCTGTCCCTATGATCTTTGCGTGAGCAGGACTTACACCAGGGGCACGGTGCACTAGGGCAGTGTTCCTCAATCCGGTCCTCGGAGACCTCCTGACAGTCCACGGTCTTTACTCTAGACCAGATTGCGAAACACCGGTGTAGGTGGAATGTCTGGCAAGGAGCTGGGAGGGAGCAAAATGTGGGTCGTGGGTCGTCTGAGGGTTCCTGAGGACCGGGTTGAGAAACGCTGCACTAGAGGAACCAGAGAAGTGACAGGGTGTGCTCAGGGATGCACTAGAAAAGACCAAAATAATGCATCCCACAGAGTCCAGGGTTCACTGATGTTACTTCTCTAAATAAACAGAGCAGTGCCAGCCATGGTTACCTGCGACCTTCCTGTCCTGCTCGTCAACTGCTGTGCCACTTACTGGAAGGAATAAAAGACTGATCTGACCGGGCTGCAGATGCCCCGTGTTGGAGTGAAGTCAGACAGCGAGCCTATTTGTTCACCTGTAATTACTGACAGTATAAGACTGACCTGTGCCTTGACCCAAGCCTCCACCCGAATCTACTTGGTCCTTCCCATTCAGCCTCCTTTCCAAGAGCCGACATCTATGGTGGCATCATTTCCTGTGTCCTTCCTTTAGTTTTTGTTTCTCTTCACCATCCTATTGAACCGAAACCCAATTATAGTCTCCGCTCTATCCATTATTTAAATCTGTTGTGCCCAACCCGTCGTTCGTGGCGTGTTTCCAGGATGATCACGAGATGATTCATGGATAATGCTTCATTTCATTGGTGGCCAACAGGTTGATCACGATTGGCAAAATATCCCAAGCGGGAACACTGTCCTGGTCGGCAAAATGTACCAATGGAATCCCCCTGCCCCACTCCAGTCAGCAACAAAATATACCGTTGCGATTCCATAGCTCCTCAAAGTGTTTTATTCATAAAAAGTAGCTCTCACTGTAAAAAGTCGGACACGCCTGACCCTGATTAAGATATACATATATACTTAATAATACAATGTATAACATTTGTCTGCGATTCCCTTTCTAGGAAAAGCGAAGCATTTGCAGACAGAAAGTTCTGTGCCTCCGCTGGCAGTCATCACCGTTTCGTGCCTGATCATCATCGCCTGCATGCTGCTGGTGCTCTTCAGGAGAAGCTGCCGGCCTCATCGAGGTGGGAAAGTGTCCAATTAGCAGCTCACACCTGGGTGATGTGTCTCATCGGAGTCGAATCCAGCACACAGCAGATGAAACTTTCTGTTGCACTTAGGCCAGTGGACTTGGGATGTCACTGTGACAGGAGACACACATGGGATCTAAGTGGAGATACTGCCATCTGCCCTCTGTCTCACTGTTTCTTTGCAGACCTTAAACCAGTGTTTCCTAATCCGGTGCTCAGGGACCCACACACAGTCCACGTTTTTGCTCCCTCCCAGCTCCCTGCCAGACAGGCCACATTCTTGCTACCTCAAAAACACGGACTGTCTGTGGGTTGGTGAGGACCGGGTTGGGAAATACTGTCTTAAACTTTTTTTTTTTTATAACTCACCTTTTCTTTTTTTCTTCTTCTTTTTAGTTATCATGGACATGTATAGCAGGTATGAAGTGATTCCTTCAGTAGTTCAGAGATCTCTTGAGTAAGGTTCTGATGTCTTTGATGAACAGTCTAATGAAAATCATGAACTAGAATGATTTGGTTCTCCACAGAAACCACAAGCCGCTGACAGACCAGAAGCGGGCACACCTCTCAGGTGAGAGAGCACACTCTGCTTTTCCGAAACATGCTGTTAATACTGTATACGTTCATCAGTCTCGCTGCATAGGCATTTCCCTGCACTTAGAGGTGCTGCCAATTAATTACAGCGATCAGAAAATCCATGTCAGGGAGGATACTGAGCTACTTCAGGTTTTACAAACTACTTTAAAACCAATAGGCTCCTGTGCTTGGCTAAATAGTTCAGTTCTTGTGCTTTGACTGGTGTATTTTCTTGATTGAAAGACTCATCCAGCTCTTTCACATTAACATTAGTGAAACATGCATGATTATAGGAGACTGACCAATCAGCACACAGCAAGAACTCAGTGCTTAAGTGAAATCCAGGTCCTCATAATTGAAATGGTAGTTTACAAACCCTGTCCCAGCTCAAAGTCCCCTCCCTGACATGGATTATCTGGTCACCCTACACTTAATCTATTTAATTCTGATTATTCAAAACCAAACGTTTACTTTTCTCTTCATTACTTTGAGGTCACGCATGTGCATGTTGCGCTTTATTTTGTTATTTGTTTATTTTTTTACTACCCCGGAAGGTCATGAGGATGCAACCGAAGATTTTGGCATTTATGAGTTTGTCACAATTCCGGGTAGATCAGATTCCACACAGGTATGTTCCCTGATGCACTATCGTGAATTGTCCTGCATGATATTCAGAGAGCATGGGACGCAGCCTATGGTGACTAAAATTCCCTGTATCTTTGGGTTTGCTTGTCCAGGCATCCAGCAAGTCTCTCTCGGGCCTAAATTCTGTCCAGGATTTGCATTCCACCATCTATGATGTCATCAGACATATTCCTGAAACGCCAACGCAGGGTCTGCTGAAGTAGACATTGGGAGTGCTTGTCCTACGATCACGTTAGGAGTCTTTTTCCTGAACTTGAGAACTTTGGGTGCCAATGCCCCTTTCTAGCTCTGACTGTTCTCAATGAGTTTCATGTGCTTTCCAGGAGAAAGTACGGACTCTCTCCTGCACTGGTCCTATTTTCCACAGCTGGGCATTGCCCAATGTAGCATCTCATTATTGCCAATCCCATTATGTAATATGTAATATTATTTTAGTGTCAGTAACCACATACTGCAAAAGGGACTCCTGGTAAGTTTATTTATTTAAATGCTTTGCTAATATTGTGTAAAGCTTGTTCTGTATGGTATGTTTTGTGTGACAAGATACCAGACTGGGAGTGTGTTAACGCTGAGTAATGTCAGTGTATTCCTCTGTCCTCTTTTACTGTTCCCTTCATTTTTTTCCATGCCAACTGCAAGAGGGTACATAAGATCTTGAGTGTTTATCTCATCCTAAAAATAGTAATGACATTTTCTCTGGACATGATTTTGAAGCTGGTTTTCAAAGTTTTATGAATGATTGAACAATTTATGGGCTATCTAAGATGTGTACATTTTGTATCTTAATAAAGATTTATTCACAGTTTATTATGAATCTGGGCAAAATGCAACCTGCAAACCTGTGTTATGCTGTCTTTACTGAATTGTCATGTGACTTATTTGTTACTTATTTGTCATGTGACTTATGGAGAGCTATGGAGCTCGTGTCTACACCAGGAACCTCTTTCAAGGGATAGTGGGGAACTTTCTGGAAGAATCGCATAGAGGAATCCAACCAATGAAGTGAAGGAATCCCCAACCAAGCTTTTAACTAGTTTTTTTTTTTTTTGTAATATTGTTGAATTTTCTGACGCGAGGATTGCTGTGTTTTTCTGGAGAATTAAATTTGAGATATTGTATGTTATAATTTTTACATTTTATCATATAGGCAATTTTCTTTCTTAATTAGTGAACTAAATTACTCATTGACATTTTATTTCCACCTTTTTAAATTTATTGTTACATGCAATGTTTAGCATTTACATATTTTGCTTTCACAGCTAAAGTAACTTTGCTATATCTAGCCTGCTTTGTAACTTACAGATATAAGCCTATAAAGTTCTGCATGTAGCCCTGGTGACCAGCTATCAAACGTCTGTGAGGCCTGTTAATGCTGGGAGAAAGCAGGCTTACGGTAACAGGACAATAAACTTGCCGGTAAAAAAAAAATCTGTGGCTTTTTGCAGAAGGTCAAAGTGTGACCACAATCCCCAGACAAGGATCAAAATGACATCTTCACTGCACACCATTTATTTGCACAGTCGCTCAGTCTTTATCTGCGCCTTTAGACAACGAGCAGGCGAGTCGTGAGAGTCGACGCATCGAAACTCGCCTGTTTACCTGCCAGTGTTTTTATGGCAACCTTGACAGATGAGCGGAGAGACAGCCTGGGAGAGGAGCTGAGGGCTCGCTTCCCGGGCGTGGCGGGCCTGCGTGAGCCAGCCGCGTATCGACGTGTCATTAGACCATCTGTTCATCCTCTCTATATGCTTTACGGGAGGGACTGAGCGACGGCCTTTGCACAACAAATAACTCTGGCGCCCTAGAGCCAAAACAAGCCTTCATTTGCCTGGGAAATCACCCACTATGGAACCATGCACAGTCTTCCTCTTCTCTGTTTGCTACTTTACATTTATACATCAACTATGTTCCTTTAATTTTCATCACTGATGAAATCCATTAAGTAGGTGGAAATATATGTTTCGTTACATCATTAGACCAAGGAGGCTGGCACTGTTACCTCACACCTCCGCGGATAGTGGAGCACTGACTGTGCTCTGTGGGTGTGGATTTTGCTTGTTCTCCCTCTGTCACGTGTGCTTTCTCCTTCAGCCTGAAAACACGCGATCAGGCTACTTGGCATCTGTGAATTGCCTGTAGCGTGTGGTCTGCAAATTGCCATCTCATCCAGAGTGTACCCAAGCCTCGTGCCCTGTGACGGACTGGCACCCCACCCATGGTGTACCCCAGCCTCATGCCCTGTGCTGCCTGGGACAGACTCCAGCTAGCCCCCAACCCTCCATGACCTTGACCAGGATAGATGGTTAGAAGATGGATAAAAAATGCAACTGCGGAATAAATTAGTCGACAGTCGACCAATTAAATGTATTACATATGTGCACAATCAAGTACTGCCTTATACAATTTAAGGAAAATGTGTTATATAACACATATGGTGTCATACTTGCAAGGACTCCTCCCTCTGTTACATCCATAAAAGGTTCATCTTTCAACTTGCACACTGCAGCATATGTGAACTCACCAAGAAACCAAAAATTTTGGCCTGGCGAATCTGGCACTTAGCGTAGCTCAAAACAGGAAGCTTGCACAGCGTTGTTACACAGGAGAACGGCAAACTGCAAAACGTGCATTTTCACATTTTTCTTTTTTTTTTTTTTTTGAGCACCATATGCCCTTCCCAACCCGGATTTTACAATAGTGAGCACACCTAACACTGAACCCGCACTGCCATCTAGTGTTCACACAGGATAATACAGCATATGGGCAATTTGGAGACACCCATCCACCCAAGCAGGTGGTCTTTGGACTGTGAGGTGGGCAGAGTTGGGTAATTCAGGTCCAGAGACCGGGATTTTGTTTCAACCAACCGGATGAGTACTCTGTGACTGTGACTTTTTATACTGGTTGGTTGAAAGAAAACCTTGGTCTGGATTTGTACTTTCTGGACCTGAATTTTCCACCGCTGAATGTTACAAGGTTCCTGAATTGAACTTGGGTTCTGGCACATTCTGACAAGGATCATGAGTAAGATTTGGGATGTCAGTGAATCATTGTGATGTACCAAACAGAGAAGTAGGTGTGTCCAGACCAGCGCAGCGAAAAACACAAGACTAGCAGCAGAGTTAGACTGGAAGTGCTTTCAAAAGGCCAATGGGGAGAAACAGGACTTGGGATGTGTGCCATCGCCTGATGGTGGTCCTTTCAAATCCCATGGCCAGCACAGTCACCACATCACCACTGGGCCCCAGAGCGAGGCACTGTAACCCAGCTTCTCCAGTGATACTGACTGATCCAGCTCTCTGATCCTCACTTGTATGCTGCTTTGGCCACAAGCTTCTCCAAAACAAACAGGTGGAGGGAACTAGATGTTACATCCATGAAAGGTTAAGTGAAGTGAAAAACTGTCGACACACCACAGTGCATAACATCGAAACGTGTCCTCTGCAATTAACTTGAATTACTTCAAGTTTCCAAGTCGCACCGTCCAGTCAGATCACAGAATGCAGGTTTCCTTGTCATTCCACATATAAATAAAGTGAGAGTGGGCAGTAAAGCATTCTGCTACAGGGCCCCTATATTGTGGAATGAATTGCCAGTCTATGTTCAGGATGCCGATTCGATCTCAGTCTTTAAATCTCGATTGAAGACGTATTACTTCAGTTTAGCTTACCCACAACCTGTTGGTGCTGCTGCACATGACATTTTTATCCACTATGCTTGTCCATGTATGTGTCAACACATGTTCTGACCATCCATGTTCTCTGCCTTCTCACATATCCATCTGAGCACCATCTGAGCTGGAGTCTGGGTTCGGTCCCATGGAGGGGTGACATTGCGAATGGGACCTATGAACCTTATCATCGAAGGTTTAGCCTTCAGTGTGACCTACATAGGACAACGTGGATAATGGAGTCATTGATGGTCTTTGTCTTGATCCTTAATCACAGCTTACACCTAGCCTTTAGCAAGCATGTCCACTCTTTTCTGTTTTCAGTAATGTTAGCATGCCCAGGGGGGATTGGGCAGCCAGTTGACCTTTGACCCCCAGAGGTATTTTTTCTCTGTACTTGGGAGTTTTTCCTATGTAACAAAGCAGGGAGCAGCTAATTCAGCACCCAGCGAGCAGTGCTTGGGGGTGGTACCTTGCTCAGGGTACCTCAGAAGTACGCTGCTGGTCGGGGATTCAAACCAGCAACCACAAGTGCACTTCCCTAACCATTAGAGCACCATCTTCAGGATCATCAACTTGCAAACTCCAGCATATATAAACTCACCAATAAACCAAGGAATTAAACGTCATAAACTAGTCATGTTGTTTTTTTTTAGCCTAAGTTAGTCCTATGCACAAAATTCAATTTAATTTTAAAAAGAAGATAGCACAGCATTAAGGACAGTGAACTTCGAATCTGTATGTGGAGTGTTCTGCTGTTCTGCTCTTGAGGTACTTAACCTAAATTTCTAGTTTTGGATGAAAATGTCAAGCACTAAAGAGTAAGACCATGGCTAAGTAAGGAAACACAACAGCTTTTATTTTACTGAATCGGGTTAACAGTTAAGTTTGATAACATGAACTTTTTATTTAATCAAAGCAACGTAGAATGTGAAAATCACAAACTTCATTCATATATTAGGTGAAATGTTATATTAAAGGAATATTTTATTTGCTAGATGCTTAATTCAATCAGCGAAGTAAAAAAAAACCTTTAAGGTGTAACACCTTTTACCCTGTATGTTTTGCATATTTGAAAATGGGTATTGTAGTTTTATATCGTAATCCACGCATAGTTTTTCACTAGGTGCATTTATAGTGAACTACATGTCCCAAGATACATTGCAACCAAAACGAAAACCACGTGATTACAAACGAACATGGCCTCATCGCCTAGTTCGCTCTGTGCCAGGGTGTAGAGAGAAAAATATACATGTAATATTAATTTCACCCCTCAATTCTCCACTTGTCATAATTACCAAAATCGAAAATGCAAAAGATAAAGTCTTTGATGACCCGACAGGTAAGCCCATTTTTTTGTATGTCGATCATTCCTGTTTAACTTTATATGGCGGTAGTTAGCTAGCTGACAGCTGGTATTTTCACTGTAATCGTTCGCAGAAAACTTGCAAATGAACCAAGTGATCACTGATGGTTGTAATTCAGGGTGCCGGATTAATGTTTGGCTGGCATGAGCAGTGTGACACTTGTTTTCACTGGGCTGTGTGGGCGGATAGGGAAGTCTATACAGTCTACTACTGTGCAGGTGGCCGGCGGGTAAACCCCATGCGATCTCAGTTTTTAGGTGTCTAACATGACTGCAAGGAAGGCAAGCGTAATGTCTCTGTTATAAATGACTAATTATTTAGACAGTTTGTAATGTGATACGCGGGCATAGTCATCGTTTTGGATTACATGCTGTCACTGGTGCCTTAACGAGAGTTACCTGTGGTCTGGTGGCCTTCAAGAATACACGGAGCAATGCATGTCAGTGATTTTTTTTAAAGATTCATTGTTATCGCTATGCTGATTGTATTCGGTATTGGTAACTGAGGAGACATTATGTTTAATTGTTTATTTTACGTAGAATCTAATTTATTTTCAGTGTCTGACTTTCAGATTCCGACAAATATAAAATGAGTGGATTGGCAGTCATAATTAATTTGCACTTTTAAACAACACTGAAATCTGTTGGTTCGATGTCGTGATGCTGGCTTCTTTTTCGGAGGGTCTGAAGAGTCCCCAGGAGAGCATGACGGACCTCAGCCCCGTGGAGAGTGCTAGGATCCCCAGCAAGGTACAGTACTGTCATGTTGTCTGCTGTTGCGATTTCACTGCTCCTACTGCTGTCCATTCATATACCTTAGATTCATCAAAACAATTAGAAGTAAACCCTGATAACATACATTTGCCAGGACTAATTTGTTGGGGAACATAACAAACAAGCTGCCACCGTCCTGCTTCCCGGGGAATGAAATACAACCGGATTGACAATTACGATAATAATTGTACTGAAGTCTAAAACACTGTAAAAATAGAATAGTTCGTTTAAAATGTTTTATAAAATATGTAAAAGTAAATAAAACTTGATTGGTTGATTCACAAACGAAATGTAAAATCATTTTTATAGGTAAGTGACACTGTGAGTTGTAGCTGATGTTCTGAAGAGGGCAGCGTAACCGATAATGGGCCTGATCAGCTGACCACAGCTCAGCTCTGTCTGACTTTGCATGGGTGTGGTTGGGTCATCTGCACTTAATTCATTTACTTATTTGTGCCTGCTGACTTTAGTAGGTGTTCCTTCTTGCTGATTTTACTTCTGATGCCGGTGCTCATTGTTTTTGAGATATTTTTGGTGCTGTAGATCTTTTGAAACAAATGGATTTTTAAATATATCTTCTTTGCTTGCATACTTCATACTCATGCATTTTTAAATCAGTTACAGGCGACTTTCCACTCTTGGATGTAGGTGAAAGGTGTCAAGGTGTCGGGCTGGACATCATTTGGGGTTAGGGGGCAGACTGATTCTCTGGGGCAATGCTGTTGTATGAGGTGGTGCATTTTAATTGCTGAAGTAGGTGTAATGCAACAGTGTTTCTCTTTCAAAAAATATAGCATGTGTGATGCTGCTTTTTATTGGCTAACCTGGAAAGGATGGTTATGGAGCAGGGGTGGGCAATCTTATCCAGAAATTGCCGGTGGGTATGTGGGTTTTTGCTGCAGCTCCCTAATTAGATTACTAATTAAAGGACTGATTGGCTGAAGAGTCCTCACACTTGGGTTTGAACAGCTGACCTAAAGGTTATCCCAAAAACCTGCATATACACCGGCCCTTTGCGGATAAGATTGGCACTCCTTTTATAGAGGAACACAGCCTTGTTCGCTGCATGATGGGGAGAGTGAGCATGTTTTAGAAACACAAGCGATCTACCAAGAATGTTAATGTTTTCTGTGTCCCTCTTCAGTTACTCAGGTGTTTAAAATCTTCCATGTATCAAACTGAAGGCCCACGTTATGATTTTGCCTGAGAAAAATACTGCAATTCTTGGTTTTTCCACTTGGGGCGCACTACAATGCTGTCAGACACTATGCTGAAAAATACAACAGCTTGTGAGGGCAACTAAGAATGCATGAAATTAATGAATAGCTGATGGGACTGGAGATAGAGCGGTGCATTTATAATCGTAGTCGGGGGATCAGTGATGTGTGAAAGCTGGCTGATGTAAAGCATGCTCTGATGGTGAGTTTGTGGAGATGTGCACACAGAGGTGCAGAGATGTGCACACAGAGGTGCAGAGATGTGCACACAGAGGTGCAGAGATGTGCACACAGAGGTGCAGAAATGAGAATAGTGGTTGCAGACAGGATATTACCTATTCATGTGTTTCCCTTATTCATCACTGTTTAGTGCTGATTAACTGTGCAACCTGCACAGAATAACGGCCACATTACCGCAACTCAGATCAGCAGCGGATTTTGTTTGCTAGAAATGTTACTAGATTTTGTGAATCCTTCATTATACCGCTAATCATGTTTTGATTATATAATTTGATTTGAGGAGTGACAAAGATGGAGCTGATCTCCTGGGTGTCCAAGTATATCCAAAGGGGCCCCTGGTGTTTATGCAAAACTGCCAGAAAAAGGCAGGAATGTTTCCTCCACGCCCCTGGGCTTTGTGTCGTCTTTCTGGGGCCTCGGCTCATGAATAGGGGGCCGTCTCTGTTCACCGCTGGTGCCTTCCATGGCGGCAAGGTTGTTTCCTGTGTCACTTCCTTCTCTTGGTCACAGAAACTTCCTCCTGAAACTTGGCTGGAGGCCAAGGGGGCCCGTCGGACTTGTCAGACCCGTTTCGGGGGCCCGCTTTCTGTGGCAGCACCGTTAGGTGCTTTGACACCCTACGAGCCCCTCCGTGGTGAGAGCAGCACAGCACACATGTCCCCCCCGCTGTCTGAGAGGGGGGCCGTATTTCCCTGGGGGCCCGTTTGCCCTTTTTCCGGAGTTTCAGCAGATGTTTTGTGGTCCTTAGGGATCGGGAGCATTTCTGAAAATTAACAGCCCAAGCTAAAAGGAAAGAGAGCTGAACCAGCTTCCTTAGGTGCAGAGTGAGAGGGGTGGTGTGTCTCAGGGTGAGGAAAATGGACCCCCACCCCCCCCTATCTGCGTGAGGCCTGACCTTGATAAACGGTCTGATTCTGTTCTGAGTTCCAGTCCATCGGTAATCAAACACTCGTGTCGATTTTTCAGTTTGAGCATCGATTGCAAAAAAACTCAATGAATCGATGACCTTATATACTCCACACATGACTTTTCAAAAAAAGTTTTAAACAACAACAGTTTTAAATGTTTAAGTAGGTTATACCTTCATTGATTACTGAAAGGACAAATATAGGGGACCTAGAAAAACTCATTCAGTCAAGAGAATGTTTAGCTTCTTTGTCTCCTCTTCAGTCCTGCCGCCTCAGTATAGTGCTGTGTACTCAGTAAGTACATTTCCTTCTGGGCATAATCACGACCATGTGTGGCTTAGGAGCCCAGCGAGGAGGGGAAATGATCATATGGTGCCCCCTCTGGTCACATCTGCTCTGACACAACCAGTATAGTATTAGTGTGTGTCTCTCCAAGCTCTTCGTCTTCCATGGGGGTCTGCTGTGTGTCTGGGCTTGTCGCTCAGGACTTTCTGGTCGTGGAGCTGAATTCAGTTTATCCATGAACTGTAATGTGAATGAAGCTCAGTCTGTCGCTACATGGCTGAGCTGCGCATGCAGGGTGATGACCACCAAGGTCGTGACCCTGCGTGAAAATGCTGGCAGGTCTGCTCTGCTCTCCAGTCCTGATCCTCCCCCCCCCCACACCCCCCGCACCCCCAGCCTGGACAGTTTGGCAGCGCATTATACCCAGGGGCTAATAAACCCCGGCGTCTGTCGCAGACTCTGCATAAACCCCACGGCCTGGACCCCACGGCAGACTGGTGAACGCAGTCACCGTCCCCGTGCCGAAATGTCAGGGTGTGATGGATGGCTGGTGCAGCGATTTGGGGGTCAGGAGGCACATTCTTGGACACAGCCCTGACAGGGGGTGGGGGGGGGTGGGGCAGGGTAGTTATAGCCAACCCTCTGGACGTGGCTGTGTAATCTTGTCTCATTGCCTCATCTTCCAGATTAAAGTGGCTTGCGTCTTATGGCTTCATGTAGGATTTGTGCCACGTCTGTGATTTCGAAACGATAACGGTTTCCAGTGAGTTTTTTGTGGCCCTGTGCGCGGCTCCACGCTGAAACGCCGCAGGCGTAACGATCCCGCTGTACAGACATGGCCTGCCCTCTTATCTCTCTGCATCTTATTGGCTCATATTTCCCTACCCCCTTCACGCTTGACGCGGGGCGAATCCTTCACGACGTAAGGCGCAGAACTAGGAGGAAGCTGGCTTTATGGTTTCAGTCCGTAGAAATGAACATTAAGTGACGTCCTGAGGCACTGAGGCTTGGGAGATATGAAGAATTAGATAGTGTCGTGCTGTCAGACATTATGCAGCGTTTTTTTCAATAGTAATGCTATTCCGGTATTTTGAAATCTTAGATAGAATTAGCCAGTCGGGTGGGGGAGCACATGGTAAAACGAGTGGCAGTCCCTCACGATAAAATTTGCTGGGGGGGGGAAGGGGTCCCTCGCTTTAAAATTTGTTTTGAGAGGGGGTTCCTTATGGTAAAATTTGTTGAGAGAGGGGGATCCCATGATAAAATTCGTTGGTGGGTGGGGGTCCCCTCACGATAAAATTTGCTGAGGGGGTCCCTCGCCATAACATTTTTTTGGCGGGATGCCTTTCTCTGTGCCAAAAGAGGGATGGATGTTTACTGTTCATGTTCTTTTGTCTGTGTAAAAAATAAATATATAAAGATGAAAAAATTGCATTCTATTATGCCAGGCAGTACGCACCTGACATGGTGGCATCCCGTACATGCGTGTGGGGTCCGTGCTCTCTGATGGAGGTTTACATTCATGTGAGTTGTGTGGGTCAGTAGACGGCATATCTTCCCATGTCGGCTTGCTGCACACCCATTGGCTGGATCGCCGCGTTGATACCGCCAGGACAGACGCTGGTCTGGATGTCAGATCGCTGTCGAAACGGCTCTCGGAAAGAGCGGCGGATCAAAGGCTGGCTGGGTGCGACTTATTCAGAGCTGGTCTTCAGACAGATGGCAAATAAACATCCTCTTCCGCCTTCAAAAGGAGGAGTTATACTTTCTGCTTGATGGAGAGTACTGAATGAACAACTGCTATGTATTAAAACCTGTTAGTTTATCTTTTTGAATCTGATTGGCCAGACATTTGCGTTTGAGAAGATATGCCTTACAGTGGGGCTGCTCAGGGGTTACCTTAATGTCATGTTCTTATTGGATGCTTTTTTCTTGTGCAGTACTGCTCCAAACCACACGGTGGTGCCATGCTATTAGTTTTTCAGCAGTGTTCCCCATTGTCCGGATGATCAACTTTTATTACTGAATTCCCCACTGACCTAACCATCACCTGACCAGCAGCTATAGATGCGAAAGTGGTAATTTTGGAGGAATGTGTACGCAAGACTTGCAAATCCCATTTTCTTTTCAGATCATTTCAAAAATACCTCTTATCTTTACTGTCATTTTCATTAGGTCTGTTCTGTAAAGGGGAATAGTGCAGCCAAGGGTTTTATTCAGTCAATTGAGTTTATCAAAATAAATCTGCTAACTCGCATTTGAGGGGCAGTTCGGCAGCGATACATTCTGCCGTTTTATGACGACTCCATGCGGCTGCTAATGAGACGGAAATCCTTCAGGAGGTTTTAAGGTGCGTTACGTGTCCTGAGCTTTATCCAAATCACCGTGAAAGGGCTTTGGAATGTGGGAGGTGGGTAACTGCCTGCCTGAGTAATAGTCAGTCAGTTCGGATCCTGCATCCGTTCATAATCCGGCGCAGGGTCGCGTTTGCCTGGGGTCTACCTCAGGATATACGGCAGGGGTGTACCTGTCTGTCCACTGGGGGGCGCACACATGCTCATGCACAGTACAGGCCTTATGGAGACCCCCGTCGGCAGGCTGCGGGGGGGCACCTGCACAACCAGGGGGAGAACATGCAGCCCGGCACACAGGGGACGGAACATCCCCCCCCCCCCCACCATCACCATCCCTACAGGTGTGAGGCTGCCCCCATCCCTGTGTCCCCCTTCTAGACAGTCCCAGAAGTCAGATGTGTCTGAGCAGTCAGCCTCACAGCCCCGAGCTGATTATAAGCACACGTGTATTGCGTGTCCGTCCTCAGTGTTGGTACAAGCCCTGAACGCGGTGCTCAGTGCACCCGTGCCTCTGTATGGTGAGTGCGGCCTTTCTCTGTCCCGGTTTTCCCGCTGGCTGTGCCCGCTGGCTGTGCCCGCTGGCTGTGCCCGCTGGCTGTGCCCGCTGGCTGTGCCCGCGGCTTGCTTGATTGCCTCCATTTTGCGCCCTTGGACTGGTGTGGAAATGGAAGGGTGGGGGGGGCTGGGTTATAATGGGGGGGCAGCTTCGTCAGGTTCAGCTCTCGTCTGCTGCCTTTTTCCTACGTGCGGCTCCTGCCAGCGAGCAATGACTCACCCGTCCCCCTCCTATCCACTCCCACGCATGCCTGTTCTCTTTCTGCCCGCACCCCTCGCTGTCTCCCTCCCTGCACCCCCCACAGCCCCCCCACAGCCCCCCGATGCTCAACGCTACTTTCTAATCCGGCACGAGACGGCAGGAATAGAGGGAGCCTGAGCGAGAGCCTTCCTCACAGTCCTCATACTCGTGCTCGTATGTGGGACTTGCGTGCGAGCAGGGCGTGTAAACGGTGCATGTGTGTGAGCGAGGTGTGTTAACAGGGCGTGTAAGCAGCGTGAACGAGCAGGGCACGTGAGCCAGCAGTGCATGTGAATGGTGTGTGTGAGAGAGCATTGCATGAGAGGAGGACGTGTAAGTGATTGGTCCATGTGTGTGAGCAGGGTGTGCGAGTGGTGCGTGTGAGTGTGTTAGCACGGCTTGTGAGCGGTGCGTGTATGTCTGCGTGTGTGTGTTAGTGGGGCATGCGTGTGAACAGAGCATGTAAGCAGTGCGTTACAAGACACTTGTCCACGATTTGATAAGAAGATTAGTAGTATAGCTAAAATATTAATAAGGTATATTTTGTGAGTCCCAAAAGTTAATAATCTGTATAAACTTGTGTGTCTTTCTTTATCAAATTCGGTTAGCGGAGCACACCACATAATACTGGTTTGGTATACTTCAGTGCGATATACGATATGCACTGAAGTGGCAGTGAAGAAAGGAACAGCTCAGCAGCCACAACATCTTTTAAAAGAGAACTTGTGGATAAACAAGGTAAAAATGTGTGTGTGGTGTAGTGGTGCTTTTTGCAGTTTAAAGTCTGACATGTTCATTAAACATATGGATATGCTGATACTGATCACTAACTTTTGGGCATCATAAAACACCTGATTAATATTTTAGGTGCACTACTAATCTGCTTGTGGGTGTAAATAAACCAAAATACCAAAAAAGCTGGCAGCCGGCCAAATGTTTTGCCCATCTTCCGGAGCCCTGGTGATTGTGGTGTATGCGTGATATAATATCAATGTGATATCGGCCAGCCCCAGTGTGAGTGGGGTGTGTGTGTGTGTGTATGTGGTATGTGAGTGTGACTAGTGTGGCAAGTGTGAGCAAGGTGTGAGAGTAAGATGGCGTGTCAGCGGCACATGTAGGTAATATGTACATTTTAGAGGTGAGTGTGAGCAAGCAGTGTGTGTGAGCAGGGTGTGTGAGTGGTGCATATGTGTGAGTGGAGTGTGAGGGGTGTGTGGCTGACGTGTGCAGGCCAGGGGCATCTCTCACACACACACACACACACACACCCACACACAAACTTTGCCACTTACATTCCCTTCATTTCTTTAACTCGTACTTTACCTGCATGTTCCTGAATACCGGAGCTGTTTGGCTGTTGAGTTAAGGCTAGACAGCTAGCACCCTTTTATTTAAGAGTGTTCCACCGGGGCCCTGCTCCTGATGGAGATCATACTGATTAATGGCAGTTTCCCCTCACCCCCCGCAGGAGGAGCTGAGGGAGATGAGGGAGCAGCCCGCGGACCCCCAAGAGGAGCAGGACATCATTAACAGCATCGAGGAAATCTACTTCTCTGGTGACTCATTCGACATGGTGCAGCACGAACTGGAGGTAAGGCCCACCTGTGGCGGGGATGTGTCCCGAAAGGGGGTCCTGGCACTGTGCGCCAACAGCCCCTTGGGGGCGCCGCGATCCTGCGGATTAAAGCCAGCGCCCACATGCGTGATTCCTGTCAGAAATTGCCGGCCCGCTCTCCGTAATCGAATAGTGCCTAGCCGTTGTGGCATTTTTTTTTCCCCAGAAACTTCCACCTGAGCTCGACCTTCAAGAACTAGAAGAATACAGAGATAAACTGAAAAAGCAACAAGCAGCAGTAAGTAGCTGGAGGCTAATGGGCTAACAGGAGCGTGGGAGGTGCATGTAGTGGGCACAGAACAGCGGCCTATGTGAAAGGGCGTCTCTCTCTCTCTCTCTCTCTCATACACACACACACACACACACACACACACACATACTTGTATTCATATCTTTGTGGCGACCATCCATTCATATCCTTTGGAAAAACCCTAATCCCAACATGACGACCTTAACCCCTACCCAGCCTTAACCTTAACCATAAGTAACCAAACAAAATATGAGACTTCTGCCATTTTGAGTTTTTCGATTGCAGTCACAGCTTTTTTGCTGGAATGGGTAGGTCTGTTGCAGAAGAACACTGTTGGATCATTGCTGGAACATGGTATGAGCGCCCCAAGCAGCCCACCTTGCCTGCTGAGCATTCTCTCTCTCTCTCTCTTGCTCTCTCACATTCCCTCTTTCTCTCTCACTTCTCTCTCTCTCTCTCTCTCTCACGGCCACCTCTTCGGCTAGGGCTGCTTACTGTGGTCAGCTGGCTGGTGTAACATTTTAAATTGGAGTCCAGTCTGCACGCTCATTTACATGCATGTAACAGTTTTATTACCTTGTAAATAGTCTGTAGGGTTTGCAAACTATCCCAACGCTTTTCATGTGGCTAATTTTAGGTTTATAGTGGAATAATATAGATTTGCCATAAGATGTCTTGCTTGAGAGTCCGAAAGAGTGAGTGTCACGGCAAATGTGTGGGAGTCGCCGCCCTGCTGCCTTGCCTGCCAGTCCTGTCATGGTGTGTATCCTAAGTGGCTTTGCTTGGGGAGAGTGGGGTCTGTTTAAACCCCTCCCACCCTTCTAAAGTCTTACGCTAAGCCTTCTGTCTAACTCTTCAATGTCATCTTTGCTCTAACTTTAAAAAACAAATGGTATATAAAGTAGCGCACCTATACCACATATAATGTACCTCACTCACGAGATGCAGCGTTATTAGCTTCCCTGAAATGGTGTAAATGGCTGGTTGTTACTGTAGCTTCATATCCTGCCTCTGTTTGGATTCATATTCAGTCTCTTTCTCCTCTGTCCCTTCAGGCTTGAATCTGTAAATGACGCCGCCCCGTTTGCCGGGGGTTCAGCCTTTGCAATTCCCTCTCCCCCCAACCTCTGGTGACTTCATTTGTACCTTTGACAAATCCGTGCCCTCCTGCACCCCCCCTCCCCCTCAGCATCGCGCTAATTGCTTGACCACGGTGGGGCGACTGTAAAAATCTGGGCCGTGAGAGGCCTTCCCTGTGCTATGGGCGGTGCCTCTGAGCTTGACGAGGTTAGCTTGACGAGGTTAGCTTATCTCAGTGTTGTGATGTCAGGGTACCCTATGAGGGCCCTCGGGGGCCATCCTGAACACTGCAGGCCCCTGTGACTTTGCTGTCGGCATCCGACACCTACTAAGGGCTCATGCTCTTGGATGCTATAGACATGTTCTGTGCTGCCGGTTAGTTCCGCTCAGCCTGTAAGGCAGCTGGGCAAACGGACTGGAAGTCGGCCCTATTGTTTCAGGATTAGGAAAGGGGGGCGTACTCAATTGCAGAAAGCCACGCTAACGAGTCTATATCCATGCATGGCTAATTACCACGCTGCATTGTTCATGTTCCTGTTTGTTTATGTGTGTTAGCTTTATTCCAGGTGTTTTTACTGTATATCCTGTGGAGTACTTTTCCAATTCAAGGAATATTGGATGTTTTTCCATTTAGGGAGGCTTGTTGGGAATTACAAATGTTTGCCTCCCCCATTCTCCCTACCCCCATGATATTCTCTTCAGGATTAACTGTTTCAGGGGGCGTTGTTAGTGTTTCTTGAGAAGGACTGGAGAGGGAACTGGAGGTATCAGTCTCCCGTTTCCTGGGTAACCCGCATTCAGCTTGGGAGAGTAGCTATGCAGTGCTGGGCAGTGGAGGTGTTCCTCAGGTGTCTGTCCCGAGATCCCAGCAGTATCACTGCTGAACGTGATAGTGAAAGCCAAGGCGAGTAGATTGTGGTCATCTGATCCAGTGATCTGGGCTTTTTACATAATGCATCACCTGCAAGTCAGCCTCAGCCCACATGGGGTTTATCCTCTGCCTTGATTCATGCTTCCGCAGAGTCCGGAGGCTCAATGATTTCCCCAAAGCTGTGCACCCCGTAGGACAATACAGTTCTGGCGTGTGATGGGGATAAGTTGCCGATGGTTTGGACGACTGTAACGTTTGGTATCACCAGGAGATGTACTTTCACTGCATGGGCCCTGTCCTATCCACCAGGAACCAGGGCATACTTTCACTCTGTTAATTTAATTCTTGTTCTCTTAACAATATATAGTGGGAGGGTGTAGTTGCTACTGGAGAAATTTTTCTGTGGTACCTGTCACTCGGGTTTCTGGATGAGTTGTCAAGAAATGGACCCCAGCTACATTTCTGTTTTGCTTGGAAAATGCTGATGTTTGGTTCCCTCTGGATGGCTGTTATTCAGTCAGCAGTCACATGACCACAACCTTTCCCTGCCCTCTCATACTCAGCTGCTGTGAATTACGTCGTCTGATATGGAATTGAGCTTCATCCATTCCCAGGACACCCTGCCCGTCATTCCGGCAGCAAATTTTCCCCAATTCTGTATAACTGTCCATCAGTTAGTGGGCCTGGCTACTGGTCCCTCGTGGTTCCTCTCTTAGCCCAAGAGCTTAACTGGTGAATTATTTCATCGCAGGAGAACATGACACTCATGTCTCAACCTTCCTGCTGAGTGGCTTTTAAATTTCCTACGAACGCCTACGAGCCCATTCAGGAAACACAATCCGTGGCTGTTTGAGAGGCCGGAATGGAGCACGGCAGTGGCACGGAGGAGCTTGCTCCAACACGTCACCCACGGTGGGGGATGCTTGCTAGTGGGTGTCTGCCTTGCCACGTTAAAGCTGTGGTGTGTGATTTGGCGAGCCTCCAAATTTCCCCCTACGCATCGATCAACGTCCCTTCTCTTGGTGTTGGACTGGAAAGACAAACTGTAAAAGTCCCCTTTAAACTCTTAAATTCTGACAGTACCTGCCCCGACCAGTGACCAATTCTTGGCAAGCCTTTCAAGCTTGCATTTATTATGGCTATTAGATGGTTATTCAGCGGTGCGTAACTGAGGTAGTGACATCTTGTATAGTGCCCCCAGTGAGTTGGAGGACCTATGTTTATTAACTTCTATTTTTTTCCTTTACCCCCTTCTCCTCAACTCTAGTTCTTTGTGTATATGAGCCTAACCATAACCTTCTCTCTACAGGTCTCTAAAAAGGTAGCTGACCTCATCCTGGAAAAGCAGCCCTCCTACGTGAAGGTAAGCCTCCTTCTCAGTTCCATTTCCTAACTGTATGAGAATGATGATGGATGTTGCGGTAAATTGACCCGCAGCTCATTTTATGTGTCCCCGTTAACTGTCTCTTTCACACCAATCAGGCTGTGTTTGTTCAAATTGCCTTTTTTTATACTTCAGACTGGGTTAGGGCTTCAGCATACTCGTTTGTGTGTGGCTTGTGCACCTGCTTCTGGCAGATTTCCGATATGTGTCATCGTAGCTGGTTCACCGCTGATTGACGGGAGCTCATCCCCCCCTTGATCTCCCCTGAATTCTGATGGAACTTTCTGGATGGAAGCCTGAAGGAAAGCCTTTGCCTCTGGTGGGGTGACTTTGAGAATTTGTGGTCTTAAGAGAGAAGCTTTGATCTGGAAATCAGGATTCAGGCCATCTGGGAGGGCATGCCAGTCAAGCAGTGTTAAAATCCTGGTCCCTTGCGATTTGCTTGGTTGCCTGTTGCCTTGAATGGCACCCCAGCTGATTCATTTCCCTCCCAGTCTTTCCAGTTTAATTGGTTTCACGCCTTTTGCCGGTTTCGCCTTTGCTCCCTCCACTACATGCAGTGACATTTGGTAGCCAATGCCCTGGCTGTCTGCACTAAGTGCCCACTTTTCACCCATGCTCCTTGCCCCATGGTGGCTGTGGCACCTGGAAATGGGGCCGTCCTCCAGCAGGAAGGCTTCTGAGGCACATGGGGGTAAAACGCAGCATAGCGTTCTGCACACATCAAATCACATCGGAATGCTCACGATCTGTTGTTTTCTTCATCTGGCGGTTTCTCATACCATCATTAAGATTGTTTAGTGGCACAAACTTTGACAGGATTTTTTTTTATGACCAATCGTTACAGAAGACTCAAGTATAGATTTAAGCAAAAGCACTATTATTAGATTACCTCCCCATCTTCAGTGTACGCCAGCTGTGTCCCTTATACTGCCTGGGATAAGTGGTTAGAATATGGATGGATGGATAATTATTGAGCTACCAATAAATGGGGAAAAAATATAGCTAAAGACCTGTTACCCGTTCGTCTGCTTGTAGTGCTGGTAACGACCCGATCAGATAATTCAGGAGTAATATATTGGTGAATGAGTCAAACATGCTTTAAAAGCATTTTTTGCGAATAGACCTTCAATAAAGGATTTGCAAGCGTGTGTTTGTTTGGCTACCTTTGCATCCAAGCAGATGATGAATAACGAGTAAGTGGGACGTAAACAGATTTCAAATGAAGTATTGGGGTCCAGGTTTTTCTGCAGGGGTTGATGTGGTAGGATTTGTGCAAGAATTGTAGCATCATGAGGAGGGTGTCCCGGGCGGTACCGTAACTCCTTTGCAAAAAGACAGCAGTTGCGAATAAATTTGACCAGTAAGCTCACGGTTGGTGGGAATGTGCCGAAGGCTTCTTTGCCTCTGTCCTTTCCGGTGCTTCCTGTCCTTCCACTGACCCATACCGGATGACTCGTGGTTATGAAGACGACCAGCATAAGAATCCAGTTTTTGATGAGCCGTGGGAGTTCTCGTGAAGTGTGATGGAAGAGAGGCACCGCTTGATAGGCTGACCTCTGAGCGAATGCACACCATCGCAGACGGACAGATATTACTCTACGATGCTTGACTGTTCCCCCTCCGTCTGAAACGATGATACTCCTCGCATATCTCACACCTTCACGTCCTCCTTATGTCGGGTTGATTTTGCCCAAACGCAGGTGCTGTTTTTCATCATATTCATCAAGCGGGGCCATGTGCCCCCCATGAAAGCGAGTGTGAAATTCTATAGGAGAGATATAGCAGTGCCTTTCTGGCTGGCCCTGTGCCTCAGATAATAAGCAGTGCTGTTCCTGCCCTCCGTGGAAATGGCCTCCAAATGTCACCTCTGTTCCTGCCTCTCAATGACTCGCCTTGTAAGCAGCCAGATAGTGTCTATGAAATTTGTTCCAATTTCTCCGGCTGGTATTTTTTCTCCAAATAATTTTCTTAATGTGACAGGGTTGTGATTGGACCTCAATGAATGCTACTCCTTTATACGCATTTATATAATGTGTTTGTGCCTTTTAGAGTGTGTCGTTACCTCAGGCTGTGACAGCTGGTTTCTAACAAAGCCTAGAAAATGGACAACAGTGTCAGGAACAACTTCGACCGACTTTCTGTCCAGTTTTTATGAGGATGACTTGGGAATGTATCTTTGTGGAAGTGTTCACCTTTACGTTGGATAGTTTAAATGTTCTATATGCCTTGTTTGTCTTTCTGTGCTAAATTCCGTACCCCCATTGTCATTGGCTGGTTCGATGATGTAAATATGGTTTATTTCATTTTACATTAATTTCCCTTTTATCTGGGGTGTCTTCAGGGCCCTGCAGCATATATAATAGTTTTCTAATCTGGTGACCAGCACATTCCTCGCGTCATGCAGAATCTCACAGTAAAACTAACCGGGCTTATGGACCAAATAGGGTTAAAGACTATTCAAAATCTTTTGAGTATTCTTTAGAATCTTTAGACTTTGGAGTAGGGGTCTCCAACTCCGGTCCAGGAGAGCTACCGTCCAGTAGGTTTTCTGTCATACCCGGTTTCTGATCAGCCACACCTGTTCTCAGGTAAATACCAGGAGCAGGTGTGGCTCATCAGAAGCCAAGTGGGACAGAAAACCTACTGGATAGTAGCTCTCCAGGACCGGAGCTGGAGACCCCTGCTCTAGAGTATTTTGCTAAATTTTGCTTTTCAGTTCTGCACCTGAAATTTCACAATTGTACGCCTTAGACACTTTCTTCTATATTTGTTCACTCGTATCAGCGTAGATTTTGTAAAAAAGTGGTGCTTCCAAAACAAAACCGATTGTCTAACCAAGCTGCCTGAAAAAGGAGTGCGCTGTAACAGCATGAAGATAAATGGATGGATGAAATGGCATAAAAGGCAGCATGATTTAAGGTTTTACTCATATTATCCTCCCATTTTAGCAACCACAGGAGCAGATTGGCGTTTTGTAGACCTCGTGTGACTTTTGGGGTATAAAGCGACCATACCCATTACCCACACACCGTGACATCATTCCCGCTCTCGGGCTTCTTGCAGGAGCTGGAAAGGGTGACCTCCCTGCAGACCAACCTCCAGTTGGCTGCCGTGATCTGCACCAATGCAAGGAGGTGGGTCGCTGTCCATGGCCGGAGGCACTTTCGTTCCCCGTCGTGGGGCCTTTTCTTGACAAGTGTGTCTGTGGGACATGCATGACTACGGTCTCTGTGCTGGAGTTTCTCAGCTGATGGCTTTTACGTAAATGCTCTTTTTTAGAAAGCGGTTGTCTGCTTCCTGCTGTTATGTGGCCCTTTAACACGGTACATCATTCCTGCTACCCAGACAGCTGAGTTTTGCCAAGGAAGGTTTCACAGAGGCCAGTCTGGGGCTGCTGGCCAATCAGAGGAGGCGGCAGCTACTTACAGGACTGTTGAAGTCACTGAGGACCATAAAGACCCTGGTACTTATCCACATTGCGTTCTCTCATCTATGTAGTCCCTAACTGGAAAAAAAAAACATTAACAAAAGCAGGCTCCCCCCTCTTTCTCTGTTGATTTATCCCCCGGTATCACGCGGTCTCTCTCCTGCAAACTGAATACATACTTTGTGTTTATCTTGCAGCAAAGAACAGACGTGAGGCTGAGTGAGATGTTGGAGGTAAGCTGGATGGGGCGGGGGGGGGGGTGCCCTCTTCATCCCTATGACAAGATTCCTTATCTTTAGGGCAGACTGGGGCAGGTCTTGATCTCAACTCAGTGGGGGTGGGAATAAGAGTTTGTTACTAACAGTAATGTGATCAGGTGGCTTATGATCTTGCAGCTGCTTTGACGTGACGCAGAAGGACACAGTCAGTGTTGTATTGAGCAGTCTGCTGGGTGCCTTAATCCTGTTCATTATGCTTGAAGGTATTCGGGGATCAGGGGAGGGGTCATGCGTTGGGTTTCGTCGTGTCAGCAAGCGGTGCAGCCTCGCTCATGGTGCCGTGGGATTGCAGAATGAGCCGGTGCCCTTCACATGTTTCCTGCAGGAGGAAGACTACCCAGGTGCCATCCAGCTGTGCCTGGAGTGCCAGAAAGCAGCCAGCACCTTTAAACACTACAGCTGCATCAGGTAAGGACCAGCAAGGTGGCCAAGGCATCCTCCAGAACCAGAACAGAACCACGACGTGGCCGCCTGCATCCTGATGCTGAGCACCATTGCGACTTGCTTCTGGCTGTCTGTGAATTTCAGTACCCAGCTTGTTCCCAGACTGGGCTCCAATGTCACCATGTCCAATGGTCCCTTCTTAGGACGTCCTGCTGGTCCTTGGATCCTCCTGGCTTCCATGCAGGTTTAAATGCTCTTGAGGCTTTTGCCCAAATCTGCTCAATTCTTTTCCATTATCCTGTTAGGGCTCCCTGATTACGGAGGGCCCTTATTGGCCGGCCTTTATCCTATCAGGACAGGGGGTGGGGTCAGTGGAAACCCTCTGAAGTGCCTTGCCCCGGAAGATTCACTGGCTCTGAATCTGTTCTGACCCAGCCCCCCCTCCCCCCCCCAAAAAAAAAAAAAAA